GACCATAAAAACTTAGGATGTGTTTTTATTTTATTTTCGGAAAGTTCAATAAAATTTTTATAACAATCACGCTGCATTTTTTTAAATCTGCTTCTCAATAATGAAAATGTTTGATAGTCACTCATGTTGCCGTATACCTTCCATTTTTTATGGTATTTACATTTTTCTTTCGATAACTTAACAAGGGGCTTAGTATACCACACTGGGTATTTTAAATTACAATTGAATTTACTAACGGGAACATATTTATTCAAAATATCATTCAAAGAATTATAAAAGTAGTTTGTTATGCATTCCACATCGGTCATATAACTAAATTTTTCATCCCAGTTAATAGATTTTAAGGCCTTTTTTATAGATACGAAGTCGGCTTTGTGATACTGTTTTTTTGTACCTCTGCAAGGGTTGAGTGTAGGAGCAAAGCTTAGTTTAAAATCAATTTCTAATGCCTTATGATGAGGATCCTCTGTAACAAGTGGAAGTTTGCAAGATGATACTTGACAAGTTTTATTACTAAAAACTAAATCTAAAAGCCTGCCGTTTACGTTAAGTTGATTATTGTGTTGCGATAATAAGGATAAACTCATAAAGTCAGCTGTAAGACAAGCTAAGCTATTGTTATTTGTATGTATATCTAGGGAATTAGTACATGTATTATAAGACCAATGAGCATAACTTATGTTGAAGTCGCCGAGTACTAGAAATACATCATCAGAATTACGAATTATAAAGTCACTAACTCTATCGTAAAAACAACTCAACAACAATTCGTGATTATTACCGTGCGCAATATACGTTGATATTATATGCAAGAAGCGAGATGCGTTATGGGAGCGAGGAGTTAAGGTGGTGGGACAAGAGTGAATGTGAAGCGGCACCGTCACCCATACTTCTTCAGCGGGCGGTGGCGCGCGCACGTCAGTTCGGTGCGTTGCGCAAAGATCGCGGCGCACCGCTATTATTACTCCACCTCCGCGCCCGTGTCCGCTAGCAGTTAAGTTACGATCGCATCGATATATCTCGTACCGGCTATCAAAAAACTCACAGTTATGAAAATTATCATTAAGCCAAGACTCTGTTACACATATTACATCATAGTTATTACAAAGAACAGCTTCTAAAAAAGAGTGCGATTTAGTGCGTAGTCCCCTCACGTTTTGATAGTAAATAGAAAGGTTAATGTTATCGTATTTTATAGTATAGTATTTTTATTATGATACCTATTAGAGTTCCACCAAAACAAAAAGTATGCAGCAATAAATACAAACACTTAGGACTAATAACAAAAGTTCTTTTCATACTCATAAAACTTAAACTATTTTTAAAGGGATAATAACATAATAAAAGTGGGGCAATAGATGGAAAGAAATGCAGTCATTTTATTTTCATAAGATCAGCTTGGCAAGATACTAGTAAGGCTTTAGAAGTGTCGTTTTTACGTACCATAATCTTACATTCGGACAACCAAATATACTTGTAATTATTTTCTTTGACGAGAAGCCGAGCTTGCTTATATAAAAGTTTATTATCTGGTGTTAAGTGATCACTTATGAAGATTGGCTTAGATGGGCCGTCCAATCCAGCATCAGCGGTGGTTAAACCTCTCCGGGCGCGCACAGCAGCAAGCATTTCTCTCTTACGTTGTCTTTGCGTGAACCTCACGATGATATTGGGTATTGAAGATAAATCGCGTGAGGGTTGACCATTGTACGAAGCTGCGTCCTTTTTGTTTTTCGGAATAAAACGCTGCACACGGTGTATGCTATCAATATCCGTCGAAGCTAAAGAAAACCCAATCTTATTTGCTATTTTATGGACAATACTCATCAGATTTTCTCCTTTCACGGTAGGTATCCCAGATAATTCCAAGTTATTTATTCTTCCCTGCTGCTCCTTAAAGCGAAGTTGTTGAGAAAGATGATTAATAATTGATCGTGATTCTTCAGCATCATTCATGATTGGTTTTATCTTGTGATTATTAATATTATTATTTGATATCAACTGGTCAACTTCTTTTTTGATTGACGATTGCTCCTCCGATAGTTTTTGAATAGTGACGTTTATCTCACGTATTTCTTTTCTAAATATAAATAGGTCATCGCGTAATGCGTTTAAAGTGCTATTTATTTTTTCGTTTTGGGTTTCAAGAACAGACTGAAAAGAACTCATTATTTTATTTTGAAAGTCAGACAGTATTTCTTGATAATTACAGTGACAATCTGGTGATTTTCGTTTCCTTTGCACAATATTAGTAGGAACATCATCGTGTATTTTGGATAAATCTGGATGTGATGAGGAACATCCACTTGGCGGCGTTCTTGAAACACTCATTTTTTCCCCCGGTAAATGAAAGAAGGTAAAAATATAATGACGCGACAGAAAACTGATGCACAGACGATAGTTATATTATTATTCACTATCCCCTTTACACAGGTTAAGTTATTGCACTTGAGACAAGGACGAGAACAATGTTCGCTACGATTGGCGCTTGACGTATGCCACACTCAAACACATTAATTACAATTACTTTGAGGCAATTACAGCGGAATTGTACGTAACATAAAGCGCAAAATGCTTTGTAGTTATTTATAGGAAAAATAGCGAAACTTAACAAGCGTCCGACTATGCAAGAGCGCACTTATAGACTGTACCTACTTAAACCCTAAATCCTTTTACTTTTCCTTCCTTAAACCCTAAATACTTTTCTAAAATAAATGCAGCCTAAGTAACTCCTTATGAAATCAGCTATCTGCCGGTGAAATTCCCGTCAAAATCGGTCCAGCCGTTTCGGAGATTACGCGGAACAAACAGATAGACAGACAGACAAAAATTTTAAAAATTGTATTTTAGTTATAAGTACTTACCGTATTTACTTTCATATGCATTTAGTAAAAAACTGTAATTTTTACATTATAAACAGAGACTTCAATTTTATTTATTTGTATAGATTATAAATATAAATAGTTTTGTTCGTTTTGTGATACAGTTCGGTATTTTGGAACGCAATTGGAACTCTTTTTGCATTTTGGAACTCTTTTGCCTCGGACACTTGAGCGCAGAGCCGAGGTCCATTTAGTAGTAGGTCAATGTTTATGATATTATTTTAAATGGTTTCAATAAAAAAAAGCATGCATCATAATAAAAATACTTACATATGGAATATAACTCCATCTTTTTGTAAATTTTAAGTATTTTGACTGCTTTATGCACACGTGGTAGAGCCATGCTGCAACTATATTTCTGGTATAGTTGTAACATGAATGGGTCAGCTCGACCGGGGAAGGACCACGCTCTCACAGAATACCAGCGTAAAATAGCAGCTTAATTCTGCTGTGTTTCGTATGGTGAGTGTAGAGAACCGGAGACCCTTTTTACTGGAAACGAGGCATTCCATCTTAGTCCTCACAGGTGACAACGCATCTGCATTTTGATTCCTCATCGAGGATAAATGTAGATGTCTATGGGTCACAGCAACCACTTACCATCAGGTGGACTGTGTGCTCGTTTGTCACCCTTATCCTATAAAAAAAAACACGTTAACCGCACCGATCGGCATTTTTTAAAGAGCACCTATTTCGGCGGAAACGATTCTTGTAATGATAAAATCGATTTCGTAAATAGTTTTTATAAACGCACAAGCTTTTAAATCCAATACCTTGGCAGAGGGGTCAGAATTACGCCAGAGGAGTCCACTGGGTTAAATGGTCTAAAGGCGGCTGCTCACTTGCCTGCTGCAGGGGCAATCTAGGGTGTAGGAGTGGGAATGACCCTTAATTGCCTCCTTAATTGCGATGTGTGTATGAAAGCAGGGGCAATTTTCTAAGACGGCCCTGCGGCAGAGCGACATGAGCGCAAGACCTTCCTTGCTCCCTAGATCACAGCTACCGCTTCCACGTGTGTAGCGCAATAACGGCAATTTCAATCAGTTCGTTAGCGACTTTCGCGCGCAGCACATGTCACAATGGATACTAATAAAAAATATGAAATTCGGACACTGATGATAAGTGTATAAAGAGCAGCTTCTTCACCCAATATCTTCTTTTTGTCTTTTTTTGTGGTAGCACCGCAGAAAGAACGTTATTTGAACGTCGTAACGTTTCTAAACTGGGTAGAGTCATGCTACAGCTTTTAAGGACTGTGTTGCGGGTGTAATTATTAATTAATTACTTGTTTTATCAATAAATATGGGTGTCTATGGGCCACAGTATCCACTTAACATCAGGTGGACTGTGCTCATTTGTCACTCTTATTCTATATAAAAAAAAGAGCCAAGGCTATATTTACCGATTCATTTGAAGTTTATTTTATGATTATTATTTACTATTTTTTTTCTTCATTCATTTGAAGTAGCGGGTCATTCCCAACACGCGTATCCTCTGATTACTCACCGGGAAGTTTATGAATTATATATAAGAATTATGTTGTTAACAAAATTACCGAAATAAACGTATTTATATTTTGACGAAACTGGCACCATTTTCAATGCGTGTGTCCAGTGAGACTGTACACTCTCCCATAGAATGGCAGGCGTGTGTGTAGAGACAGTTCTGATATCGCCCCGATCGCTTTTCGGTCAAAATTGCCCCTGTGGCACGCAAATGAGTAGCCTCCTTAAGACCAAGGCAGACCAGACGATTTTCTTTAGATTCTCTTTAATACACAACCAGCCAATCTCAATTTCTTGATTCCGCTAAGGGACTGACAGCTGCCAACTAACGCCACCAACAGGTTTAATATTATAACTTCTAAATCAGAACACGTTTTAGTTTTTCTGATTTAGAAGTTATAATATTAATAGTGATATGTAAGTATACCTTTTTACAATTGACTGGTTATCATTGATTCGATGTTTTATGAAAATACATCGATACATCGAGTATATCAATAACTTTCCAAATCATCGGATCGATTCGATGCATCGTATTGTAAACATCGAGTGAATTCGATGCATCGATGTATATCGAATATCCCTAGACCATCCCTAATAGTTTACTCCTAGGAGAATTGCGGTTGTAGTTTTTGTCTTTGAGTATTTATTTATTTTATATTTAATTAACTAAAGATTATTACACAAACACTACAAAATATGAAGTCATTATTTACGTTAAATAAATTATTTAAAGTATACTAAAACAAAAAATAATGCAATGTGCAATCCCTTAGAGTACATTCTGTTGCTCTATGTTTATTGCTTGTTTTTATTATTTCAAACTTCTGTGATATATTTATTAATAATAAATTTGGCTAATAACGCTTAGACATTTTATCATTACGATTTTCTTTTTAAATTTCTTCCATCAAAAGATTTCATTCCCAAATGAATAGACGCGTAAATCATAAAAAATTGAAGTATCATCGAAATAAATTTAATTCATGGAGTTCCCCATCATTCAACTATTTAGAATATAATTCATGTGAATTTGAAGAATCGTCTACTACAGCTACTGAAATATCTACAGAATGTGAACCTGTTAAAGAAGCAGACGATAGGGATAGTAAAGGCAGGAGGATAATTCTGAGAGAGTTTTTGTATGAAGATCCAGATTTATTTAACAGTAACAGGTAAGTTTCATCTATAAACATATTTTAGCTTCTAACTTAGGTTATCAACTTATTTGTACATAAATTGTAAAACAGCAATACTTTATTAAATATATAATTAAGTGCAGGCTGAAAAACTCTTTAAAAAAGATTGCTGATTTTTTTTTATAGCCTAAGAAAACATTTGGTGGATTTGCTAAGAATAATAATGTATACCTAGCAAAATGAAGAATTTTACTTCATTAATCATTTTCTATAATGCTCTTAAGTTTTTTTTAAATGAGTGTATATGCTTGCAATCAACTAGATTTTTAACTATTATAAGCCAGAGCTAATACTTTGCCGCCTTGTCATATCTTAAAATTATAATTTAGGTCCAGGTCATCATTGTCATAAAACAATTAAGCCAAAATGTGTCAGATGTAAATAGATATTTAGTATATTACCTGTGGAGGCTATTTCCATTAATACTAGAGATAAGTACTTAGTTGAATAAAAATCTCTGTATTTCTATTATTTATATATTTGGAATAAGTAACAACAAAGTGAGTGCTGAGCAAATCTTTAATCATTTCTGTGTATTTAGTTTTGTGGGTAGAAGTGACATGCACATAGGAACGCAAATAAATGATCAGACATGCTAAACTGTAACATGTTCAGATATATATCATTTTACTTTCACTGCTCACAGTTGAAAGAAAATGACCTTTTAATTACTATACATTTACTAGCAACTCTTCAAAGCTTGCAGCTGACAGTCTCATATTGCTTCAATAAACTTCCTTTTTCACTAACTTAATTATTATTCTATTAAAATTATTAATTACCCTTAATAATTATTCTAGTAAATTGAAGCAAAATTATGGATTAGAATGGAATATACAACATTGGAAGAAAGCAGGAGAAGCAGAGACACAAGATTCTAACTTTGATGAGGACCAAATCAGCCAAAGAAGGCCAAATAAGGTGCAAAAGGAACTAAATAAAATGCTGTCTCAGCCTGTTAATATGACTAAAGCAGAGAGGTAATCTTAATGTATTTTGATTAAATGGTTTGAAAACTTAAATAATATGCTTAAAAATTTGGTGTGTGAAATTTAAAACTAAGATAGTTTTAAACTTGTTATGGTTGTATGGTGTTTTATTTTTTAAATAATATTGCTTATAATTTATTGTTATCGTCAGTCATCATTATTACAGCAAATTTTAAATCCATAGTTCTCCAAAGGTCTCCTCCAAAGACTACCACAAAATACTGTTATGAGCCACTTGCATTTAACTAATGGGAGGTCCATTCTACCACTCTGTTTACTGGAATGAGTTTGCCAATAAATCTATGATCTATTGCATTTCAGAATGATGCAGAAAATGGGTTGGCAAGGAGGTGCTCTAGGCAAACATGGTGAAGGTATAATTGAACCCATAGCACCAAATGCTTCTTATGTAAGTAATCATGTCCATCATGCATGTATGTATGCACTGACCTCTCTTATACAAGTACACTGGACTGACTATACATTGTGATATAATGAGTCGATTTGATTTTCGTCATTTTGGCACTGATAGCAGAAGTGATTGTCCAGGGAACTAATAATAGAGATAGGGCATGGTGACAAAAAATATAGATAAAAATTCTATACCCAGGCCTACTATTCTGTTTATGTATCTTACCATTCCATTTATGTCTTAGGCACAAACTATACGAGCATACACTATATCAAACAAAAATTCGTACTATAATATGTAGACAGTTTTTTTATGGGTTTCACCATATATGGTTCATTTGAGTGGTTTAAAAAGGTCCAATGAGTAGGAAAAACTGAAATAAGTCTACATAATAAAAAAAAATATAATTTTGTAAAAAATTTGTTTACCATTCATTTAGTCCTCGTAATAGAGAAAATTAATAAGATGCCAAAATATTATGCGTATTTCAACAATATCTATAGGTACAATTAGAATTTTACAAACTTTAAATTACATTAAAGAATACCTTACCATAAATCATTGACATCATAATCAATTTGGACGCCAATTTACAAGTTTTATGCTTTTTAGTATAGAGTCAGTTAAAAACCTATAAATAAATTAATAATTGATAATTATCTGTTGTCAGCAACTTTCATTATTATAAACAAATATAGGTAGAAAAAAAACATTGACGAGTATTATTGATAAGGAACTTGTCAACCCTATTGAATTTTATTGTTTATTAAAAATAGATAATTAATTTAAAGCCAAATAAGTTAGTAAAAATACTTTATAATATAAGTAACAGATTTTTAATAGCCTTATTATCAACTAGTTTAAATTTTTTAATATAAACTTTAAATTTCCTTATATGTGGAATGTTACCACACTTTTATTATTATTATTTATTTCATTTCATGTATCTAGGACTCATTATTACATTAACTTTTTAAGAATTATGATTATTATAAAATTTCAATTAAATACTCTATTATTATATGAAACATTGGAAACAAGCATCAAAATTATTACCATTATTATATATTTATAATTAGTTGCTGGGCACATGCATCCTACAACAGTGTTGCAGACAGGGACAGTACACTCTGTCACTTATCATGTTTAGAATACCGTTGGGGCTGGCCCTAACCCTGCGCACCAGAGATGCAGCTCTTTTACGCATAGTAGCGTAAAAACAATCTACATGAGCTTGAGCAAACATCGCTGATGCGCTGCAGCGACGGGACAGTCCCATCAGCACCCGGAACGTGTTGTTATATTGGATCCGAAGGGCTCCATAGGCCCGTTGCGTGTAATCCCTCCATAGGCTGCACGTGTAAAGAGATGTGCAAAACACTCTAAATAGAGTTTAACATCCCTTGAGCATTGTGCGAACAATCATATTTGCTCGAACTGACAGAGCCCTACGTTCCCTTTCTATGTCAGTATTATCCTTGAGGTCGGACGTAAACATATGACCAAAATATTTAAAAGAGTCTACCATAGTTAATGGTGTATTGTTTAATTTAATGGGTGGCACATTATTTGTACGGTCCCATCCGGCCCCAAAGATCATACTGACTTTTTTGTACATTGTACTTCAGCACATGTTCGGCTGCAAATGTCTCACAAACACTTAACAATTTTCTTAACCCACATACTGATGCACTCAGAAGCACCATGTCGTCTGCATAACTCAGGTTGTTTACACACATCCCATCTATATGACATCCGACATGCATGCCACTAAGCGCCTCAATAAGTCCATGTATATAAAGATTTAAGAGACTAGGTGAGCTTAGCCTACCCTTTCTCACCCCGCACTCTAACAGTATGGTTCAGGCAAAGCGTTGGGCCATTTAACGTAATTGACCTGTTCCCCATACCAATATTTTAAAATCTGTATCAGTTGACCTGGTACTTTAATGCCCTCTAATTTTTTCTACAGTATATTGTAGGAGACCAGATCAAATACCCTCGACAGATCAAGCAATCACATGTAGACAGGTGTTTTCCTATCAACATAATATTGGACAATGTGCTTAAGGAAAATTATTGCACTTTCTGTGGACAGTCTGGAACAAAATCCGAACTGATTGTCATGCAGTTTTAGATATTTATTAATTTGCGTATTTTTTTTTTTATAGGATAAGGATGACAAACGAGCACACAGTCCACCTGATGGTAAGTGGTTGCTGTGGCCCATAGACATTTATCCTCAATTACGAATCAAAATGCAGATGCGTTGTCACCAGTGAGGACTAAGATGGAATGCCTCGTTTCCAGTAAAAAGGGTCTCCGGTTCTCTACACTCACCATACGAAACACAGCAGCGTTAACCTACTATTCTACGCTGGTATTCTGTGAGCGTATTAAGCACACTGTCCAATTTCTGGTGGTTGCCAAGGATATTGGTCTATAGTTAGATTTGTTCGACAAGTCACCCATTTTATTTTTTACAACTGGTACCACTATGGTCTTCATTAGATCAGGGGGCAGATATGCATGCCTTATACATGTAGTGTAGAACATAGCCAGTACCCGGTGTATATGTGGGCTAGCATACTGTAGATGCTCGATACTGAGACAATCATGACCTGGAAACTTACTCTTGGACATAGATTTTACGATATTTGCGACCACTTTTACACTAATTCTGTCCCCTACTTCATCAGTTACTATCTCAGCATCGTGCACCGATTCACAAGAAGGTGACCTCAGTATAGAATTCACAGAGAACATCTCTCTACTCGTAAAGAGGTTATCAATATCCCTAGGGTCATTCACCCCATCCGCACTCATGGGGACGCCAGGCCGAGTCCTCATCTTATTAGTGCTTTTCCAAAAAGCACTAAAATCTTTTTTGGTATGCGATGACACTATGTTGTCTATTTCAATTTGATGCTTATGGTCTTGACACCATTTTAAACGTGATTTAAAAACCTTTCGGCTGCTACGCATTTGATCAAATAATTTACCACGAGGCCGTCCATTAGCCATCCAAAGATGAAATTTCTGTCTAGCCTTCCCATGAGCCTCTCTAACATCTTACATTGAAATCTGTTCCATCTTACAACGGGTTTTTTTGGTCCAATGTTTCTTATACTCTCGGCTAGCAATCGCGGCCTCACTTAGGACAGAGACAGTGTCGTTATACAATTTGTCAATTATAAATTTGTGCTTTATCTCTGTACAACATCTATCAGCACAGTACGTAAATTCTGAAGGGAAATCTATTTTCCTTAACTTTCTATGGCACTCATAACTGTACACATGTCTTTGACGCTTGGACCTCTTTCCCCATATAACCTGGCGATTAATATAACATGTTGGTATATTTAAATAATTTAATTTTGGTATTAATAACTCTAAGTCGCATTCGTTCATAAGAGAAAAACGGTCTGACCAGGTGACGTCGTATTTTACATAAACATTACACACTGAGGACATAGTGGATTGTGTCACAACACAATGGCCCAACCATCGCTTACAGGCCTAGAAAGCCAATATCTATTCAATGCCACTTTTGTTCACTACTTATTCTATGAGTTCGTTGAAAAACAGCGTATAAGGATGAGAGGTAAAATCTATAACAATAATATATACAATATCTATCTATAACAATATTATATATAATTTATAACAATAATATATTTATGAAAATGTAATGTATGTACATAAAAACATAAATAGCTTTAATAAGAATAAGGATGTTCATACCGTAAACACTAGGAACAAACATAAGCTTGTAATGCCAGTTACTAGACTCCATAGAATTTGTAATTCATTTATGGGGAAATGTATACGCTTTTACAACAAAATCCCAGAACATGTTCAAAGTTTGTCAATAAACAGGTTTAAAAGTGTTATTATAATATCAAGAAATACATTAATGAAAATAACCCCTGGGAATAAAGTGATCGCCACTATGCTGGTTCTATGAAAATTCATTTAAAATTGTATAAACAAAATTATTGTTAAGTGAAATTATGTTTAAAAAAATAAAGTCCCGCTGGGTTTCTTGCTGGTTCTTCCCAGGACAGAGGTATTTTACCGAAAAATGACTTTCAATAAGTATTATGTAATAATCAATATTGAATAAAAATCATTATATTCTATTCTATTATAAAAAAAATCAGTAGTCAGTAAGTTTGTTTTGCTATCTATCACATTCTTACTTATAATATTTGAGCTTGGACCGGTTTCGCACGACTCAGATTGAACAACCACCCTCGAACGACAATTAGCATCCTGATGCGATGACAACGGCGAAGATTCCCGCTCGCGCACAGTATTAATTTTTTGGCCGGTAGACTGATTATTGTCTATTTTCTTTCTCGGTCGATATCGAGGCGATGTGTCGTCTGGTATAAGTGACGATATTGTATTCGTGTTCTTCATCTCATTAGACCCATCTAAAGGGGAGTCATGTATAGCGGACATAGCTATTGGCGTGCTCAGCAGAGCGGGGCAGTATTTCATACCTGCACACCGCTTGCAACTTTACAAGGCGCAGGTGGAATACTACCTCACGTGGAATACTGTCCCCATCTCTGGGCAGGGGCTCCCCAGTGTCAGCTCCTTCCACGTGACCGATTCCAGCGCAGTGGAGTTCTTTCCGATCGGCTTGACTCACTGGCACTGCGAAGAGATCTCTTTTTGTGTATTTTATCGCATCTACCTCGGGGAGTGCTCTGAAGAATTGTTCCGACTAATTCTAACCGCTCAATTTCACCATCGGACATTGCGACAAAACTTGCGATACCATCCATCTGGAGGATTGGCGGTCCACCACTGTGCGATTTAGAAGTTTTCTTCCTCGCACAACTTCCTTGTGGAATTGACTACCACCATCGATTTTTTTGGACTGATACGACTTAGGGACCTTCAAGAAAAGAGCCTACTCCTTTTTAAAAGGCCGGTAAGGCATCTGCAATTCCCCTGGTGTTACAGTTGTTCATGGGCGGTGGTAGTCACTTATCATCAGGTGAGTCGCATGCTCGTTTGCCCCCTCTCCTATAAAAAAGTTTTATTATTATATTATTATTTTTATTATTATTATATTATTAGCAGGTATGGGCCAATCTCGTATAGTTAAGATGTCTTGCTCGGTGGATACTGCTGATGTTAAAAATATGTGACAGCTCTTTGCAATTATATTTGTGGGTCAAGATTGTAATATTGTGTTTGAATACTGTTCTAGCAGTGTTTTAGATAAGAATTTTACAAGCATAAGTACTCAGAGTAATTATTAGCACAGAGGAAATACTTAAATAAGAACAAAATTCTTGTAGTTGAACTCTTTTGCATATAACATTTTATGTGGTACTCATCTTTTTTATTTTACAAGGTTGTTGCCATTAGCGAAACAATTAAGTTGGCGATAAATTAATTAATTTAGTCTATAACTTATTAAAATTAAAGATTTTAATTAATCTGGTTCATGATACTTGTTTAGGCCAAACATTTAACATTTGAAATTTGCATTCACACTCGTGTCCGCCCGCTGACTTGTAAAGGTCACCGTGGCCCTACTCCCGTGTGCGTCACTGGGCAGAGGGCGCGAGCGCAGAACGTGAGTGCAACAGAGTTGCTTGAATGCAGTGCTGTTGATAGCACGTCATGAGGTCGCCCGGGATAACCTCCATCTTTTAGAGTCGGTTTTGTTAGCAAATTAATGCAACGACGAGGGTTTTTGTTGAGTCTAGACAAATAGACGCCGGTGATTAATTATTTAGAATTAATATTGATTGCGACCAACGTCCGGTTTTTTGGTGCGTGTGGAATTTACTATTGGAGTTTTTCGCTTCTAGTTTGCTTATCCTTTGTGCGGCACGCGATGACGAAACAATAATAATTTGATTGATTAACCTAAATTCGTTGGCAAGTAATTTACGTAACTTGTAGTGATTGTTGGTTGAACGCTGAACTTTGTGAATCGTGAAGAGATCGCGTTAGTTCCCTATCTGTAATTTGGTGATAAATGAATCCGGAATATTGAATGTTGAACTTTGAACTACTGTCCGTTACTCGAGTCGATTATCACGTGTTTGATTCTCCGATGAACGTTGAATTAGTTGCGTTTTGAAGTTAGTTAAATGTACAGTAAAGTTGATAGACTGAAATAGTGACATGAATAAAGAAATTAACCGGGGGTGACTCCGCTGGAGAGTACCACACCTTGGGGCGGCGTCGGAGTAAGGATTGCTGCCAACTTCAACGGTCCAGTCATGTCAACCATAATCCACACCACTAAACACCACTATACATGCACCTACACACCTTCGGCCTGACCGAACCTTGGGACAGTCTTCGCCTCAGAGCCAGGTACGTACTATTTATTTGACTAGCCTTCTCCCTATAGTGTAGTAGGATAGGACAAGTTTCCATATGGCCATTTGGGCCCCGTCCTAGTTAGCCGTCGAATCTACCGCTGATGGGCCCCGGGATATTTGACCTTTATAGGGACAACTAGGTGCGTGTACAATACTTATTTATGAACGTTAGTAGAAGCTTCATTTTTACAACAAAAACATAGTTGAATAATGCAGTATTTCGCACTATCATGGTAATTTCAAATGTATCCTGAAAACGTCACTATGAAATCTACTTAGTTCATTAGGTCAAGTCATTTATAGGTTACACAATCACACAGATGCACCAATTTATAGGATTTAAAGTTACTCGCCAAACTCGTGTGGTAATTTTTTTTTTCAATACAGACATTTAATACTGGGCAGAGTATTAATTTTGAATATTTGGCTGGGAAAAGAATTAAATTTTCTTCTGGACTGGAGCAGTAGGCTATAAATTTTTAGCAACAGTTTTCAAAAGCATTATTCAGGATTACAAAATTAAAAGAAAATTTAAAAAAAGTAAAAATTTGTAGCAACAGCAGTGAAAAGGCCGTCACAGGGTAGATATTTTCGTTTTTTTTTAAAATCCCTGTAATTTTTAAAATTCATAGCAACGATTTATTTTATATTTTTCTGTTAACTAACCGATTCCGGCTTGACGTCGACTTCTGGGACATCCCTGTATAAATTACCAAGTTATAAAGGTTGTTGCATAAATTTTTGCATTGCAAAATGAACATTATTTTCTATCGTTTTCATTTAAACGAATATATATATATATATATATATATAGTATTATTCATTGAATTAATCGCCTTCTGAAAACACGACACCCTCAGTTAGGCTTTGTATAAATTCTCTGATAGTAAAAATTTTTGTCTCAAATATGTACAAGTTCACTTCAATATTAATTTGGTAATTAGTAATTCATAGTAAGTTAGTATTTACTGTATAACGTTACTTTTGAAAAGAGTCCTGTTTTATTTCGAGATGGTTCATTTTTTCTACCAGATTGGTGGTAAAAGTAAAAATTACTAACAATGAAAATGAAGTTCTATTTTGAATTAAATAAAAAATATTTTTCGAATTTCTTGTCATTCAAATAATTCTGAAGTGACCAGAAAAGATAAAAATGTGATCCAGTAAGTAAGAGGGGAGGGGTAACTGTTCTGTGTTTGTTGTCAATTGCAAACAGTCCCTGCTCAATTGCTGATGCTCTTCCGATATTGCAAACTACATCAAACACACTAATTTTTGACGTGGTAGAGCCATGCTGCAGCTATATTAGTAGTATAGTTGTAGCACGAATGGGTCGGCTCGACCGGGGAAGGCCCACGCTCTCACAGAATACCAGCGTAAAATAGCAGCTTAACGCTGCTGTGTTTCGTATGGTGAGTGTAGAGAACCGGAGACCTTTTTTACTGGAAAAGAGGCATTCCATCTTAGTCCTCACGGGTGACAACGCATCTGCATTTTGATTCGCAAACGAGGATAAATGTAGATGTCTATGGGCCACAGCAACCACTTACCATCAGGTGGACTGTGTGCTCGTTTGTCACCCTATCCTATAAAAAAAAAATCCATAAAAATAAACGTAATTTCCATACTTTTCTTAAGCAGCTTAAAGTCGAGCTTTAGTGTTGTTATATATAGTAATTATACTTTCTAATTCTAGGATTTTAAGGTAAAAGATGCACTAGTTAGAGCAGAAGTCGTATTTGATGTAGAATGAAATGTAATTAGTTAGTTACGCGTAGTATTAAAATCCTCAACCACACATACACACCCACAAAGCTTAAAAAAGCAGGTAATTTTTTATTAAAAATTCTTCAAAATATTGTTGATTTGATGATTTACTTAAAATTTCAGGCAACAAAAACAGTAGGACTAGGGCAAACAGTAAAAAAACGAAAACATGAAATGAAAACGGAAATAAAAGAGCACTTTGACACCAATGTTCTACTATATGTATTGGATTTTGTTAAGAACGATTCAGAAAATGAAATAGTTTTTGATCGTCTTTTATGGAAAAATGAAAGGAAACGGGTGCATAACATAATAGAAGCAATTTCAAGCAGTGGTAGTACTGTAAGTGTTGATTTTGACACTGTTGCCCAGATGGATATTGCTCAACATATAAATTCATACAACAAATACTTTCTAAGTACAGAAAGTGAAGGAACTGTCCCAAATCGGTAAATATACTATACAAATTACACAACTAAATCATCTTAATACTAAATTTTGCTAATGTTTGCACATATATTTCAGTTATTTATGTTTATACAAAGAAGCGCCAGAACACATGTATTTAATAACACCAGATGACTTGCGTAAGGAAGACCGTGATGACGAAGATAGTGAAGAACCAAAAGATACTCAAGAAAAGGGAAAAACAGCAGAATTAGAACAAGATGCATTAAGTAATGACACCAGTAATGTAGAAAACGAAAATAAGCCAAAGTCTAAACCAGACGAAGAATGCACAATAGAAACATTGTTAGCGACAATTACAGAATATTTCTTGGAATTTATTAGCGATGATAATTACACAGAGTTCAGATTTCTAGGGCCATTTACAATGAAAGAAATAAATGCAATAAATATTTTTATTGCAAAATGTACTAATTGTGATTACAATGAAAATGATAAGCTAAAAGAAGCTTTCCAAAATAATGAATATAGCATTGACATTAAAGAAGATTTTAATGGTAGCACTGTGTAAGTATAATACTTAATATGTGGGCAAGATTGAAAGAATAGTTTTTCAGCAGTCTTATAGTTTTCCTCTTTTATAGTTTTAATTTTAAAGATGTTTGGATATTACTTAAATTATTAAACTTTGCCCTTATAATAATTAAATGACACAGAATACCTAATATTACCTATGTTAATAATAAATGCAACTGTTTAATAACTCTGAGGAGCTAATGTTTCGAAAGAAACATTATTACTAAGGAAATTTGTAATTTGAACATATGCTATGAAGAATCCTATATAATTTGGTAATAGAAATTCGGTTTTTTTTTTTTTTTTTTTATAGAATAGGGGGCAAACGAGCATGCGGCTCACCTGATGTTAAGTGACTACCGCCGCCCATGAACAACCGCAACACCAGGGGAATTGCAGATGCGTTGCCGGCCTTTTAGAAAGGTGTAAGCTCTTTTCTTGAAGGTTCCTAAGTCGTATCGGTTCGGAAAATTCGCTGGTGGTAATTGATTCCACAAAGAAGTTGTGCGAGGGAGAAAACTTCTTCTAAATCGCACAGTGGTGGACCGCCAATCATCCAGATGGTATGGATGGTAACGCGTAAATTATTATTTCATTTCGGAAGAAATGAAGTGCTTGGAAATAATAGTTTTGGTTGTAGTACACTATTTCTATTAAGATTAAATATTATCCCCTTCTCCTCGGCCTAGGGGTAGATTAATAGGCAGGCTCCAACAAACGTTTACGTGGTAGAGCCATGCTGCAGCTTATGGTTGTAGCACGAATGGGTCGGCTCGACCGGGGAAGGAAAACGCTCTCACAGAATACCAGCGTAAAATAGCAGCTTAACGCTGCTGTGTTTCGTATGGTGAGTGTAGAGAACCGGAGACCCTTTTTACTGGAAACGAGGCATTCCATCTTAGTCCTCACGGGTGACAACGCATCTGCATTTTGATTCTTAATCGCAGATAGATGTAGATGTCTATGGGCCACAGCAACCACTTACCATCAGGTGGACTGTGTGCTCGTTTGTCACCCTTAACCTATTAAAAAAACTCATTATTTTATAGACTTTTTATGAGCTCCATGTGCTTATTCTGTTTTGCAGATAATTTACTATAGTATTAGTTGTATGCACTTTCATATTATTTGCACGCCTCATAACGCGAAGCGTTATTAGATAGTGCTTTAAGTCAAGCAATTTGTGTTCTTAAAATACATCATATCATAATCATATTGCACTTATACGATAATATGAGTAGCCGTATATCTAAAACACGCTAATTAATCAATTTTATATTTTCTAAAAATAATTTTTATTGCTACTTTGAGAAAAAAAAGTGTTTGAAAATAAATTTACGTTGACGTCCGGATGTTGCGTTTGTATGTGGTCATAATAACTCCCGAAAAAAATTAACGTATCGAGACCGGGTTTTTTTTTATTAACTTCAGAATTACATCAACTGGTTCCCTATTTCATATCAATAGTCTAGTACGCGTATTGTTAATAAAATTATTTTCAACTTTTATAAGTTTTATTGTTATTAAAAATTTAAAGGCGCTTTCATATTTTTTTAGCCCTGGACAAATGTAACACCAACAGTCTATATTGATTTTATACTTTGTGTAATTGATTTATTTTGGTTAAACATTATTAATTTTTTTCCCTGTAGGTGACACTCCATGTTAAAATAATAGGGCCCTAAATTTAAAACACGTAATTATATTTTAAAAGACAGGAATACAATTAATTTTTTTCCATCAAAATTAAATGAAACTTATGAGGCGTGCACTGGTAGATTTTCCAAAATATTTTAATCAAATTTTCGTCAAATATCAATTAATTTCCCTTAAGAAGATATCCAGGCGACGTTAATACATATTCCTGTTTTCACCTGTATAATGACACTTTTTTTGAACTGCCACTGCCTTGTTCCTTTCTTTTTAAAATAAATCAAACGGCTTCGTGGCGCAGTGGCTTAGCAATGAGTTGAAATGTTAAGGGCCGCGGGTTCGAATCCCGGATTGAACAAGTATTTCTTTGGCCTACAAATAATTTTCGTGGGTCTGGATGTTTGTCCTTGCAAAATTTATGTTTGTAAACTGCTCCCACGATGTAGGAGAAAATCCTAGTGTGGAGGTAACGTTTCGTTATTAAAGAAAGCAGACAAAAAGCAGAATAAAAACAGATTTTAAAAACTAGAAACCTAAAAGGACTAATACTATCCATTTACACCGCCGTTATTATACACCCAGTTGACAAATATAACAAACATAAAAATAAAATAAAGAAATAAAAATATTCAGTCTGCCAAAATCTTTGTAATTATGAATAAAAAAATTGGTCCAGTTTTAGCGAGAAGCGTCTCAGTTTCGTGTGTGATTCTAAGTGATGATTTGTTAAATTTTTCATAGGCATAATCAGTTAGACGCCCATTACACGCCTAGGCAAGCGTCAATCAGTTCGATCGATCATGACTGAGGTTTAAATGATGGAATAATTTGGACATTACACGCTCATGCTGACTGATCGTCAGTCAAACCCAAATTTTCGGAGTGAAAGGACGTACCTATAAACTAAGTTCATTTTCGATTCACCATTTAATTATAATTTTATATCCTGAAAAGAAAAAGAAAAAATACGAATAGGAAAAATTGTAATATTTAATATCATTTTACCCATTTTAATTTAACGCGCGCAAATGTTAGACCTCTTGGAGCGCATAATCGACACGCGGCTTTATTTGAAACGCATTTATGGGCGAAAAATAAGCTTAACTTTTACATTTATTCGTACAGGGTGGATGGCCCCTATTACCAGCCTTTTAGTGTCAATTTCAATTTCCTTTTGTGTATCTAATGCCAACATAGTATAGGGCTATGTCTTTTGAGTTTTTGGTAGGTACCTATTGTAGGTAAATTTTAGGGGCACTGAAATAAATTCATAACAACTTTTAATTTTAAATCATGCATGTCACAAGTATGTAATATGTATTAAGATAGACGACAACAATTATTTTATTTCAATGTTTTACTTCTTACCTTACTGTGGTTTAGCTTTAAGCAGTTACATTTTATCTTTTAACACTAAACAATTAATTAAAATAATATTATAATAAAAATGATGTATTATAGTACACCGATTTCTTATAATTTAATCATCCAAGTTTTTGAATTTTTATCATCATTTCAGCCCTTCACAAGTCGACTACAGAACATCATCCTCCATAGACTGCCGCAAAGCATGGTCCTGAACCACTTTCCTTTTTATGACTTTTTCATTTATGTTCTTAAGTTATAATAAAATTAGTATTACTAAATTGTAGTTAATTACATTTATTGTTTGTTTTTGTCTTTCCCAAAAAATAATTAAATATTGTATGGTGTTCTTAACATATACCAAATGTCTGAAAAGCAAGTACGTATCATTTGTTAAATAAATCAAACACCAATTTTAAAATATAGACGAATTGACCATAACTTACTTAACTATAAAATAAGTTATGTTTTTTTTATATAGGATAGGGTGACAAACGAGCACACAGTCCACCTGATGGTAAGTGGCTACTGTGACCCATAGACATCTACATCTATCCTCAATATAGACTCAAGATGCAGATGCGTTGTCACCCGTGAGGACTAAGATGGAATGCCTCTTTGCCAGTAAAAAGGGTCTCCGGTTCTCTACACTCACCATACGAAACACAGCAGCGTTAAGCTGCTATTCTACGTTGGTTTTCTGTGTGAGTTCAAATTAAAGGTATTTATATTAGTTTATGACAGCCCTGATTTATATTACGTGGTTGAAATAAGGTACTTCTTATTATTTACGTCAAACCAAATAACAGTCGGGCGACTGACATTATGCACTCCATAAATTTCGTATATCTAATTACAGCCCCATTAATTTCCACTAAAAGAAAATAAAAAGCTTATAAATTTAAACAAAAATAGCTGCATTACTATGTCTATAGTCACATTCATACAAATCAAAAAGCCTAAAGATGAGCTAATGTAAAATATGCTTATGTTTTGATTATTAATTTAACAATGTTAGGTTTAAAACTGTGAAATATACTTTCCTCTAATTACGAAGAATTTTTAGCCGACCATATTTGTAGTTAAGACTACTAGAAATCTTATTTACGAAGTAAAAAGGCGGAAAGGCTGGAATTAGGGGCGTGGTTGGTATTAGGGGCATCCAACCTACCCGGGGTTTTTCGTGTCCCACAACTCGGGGAGAGACTGAAAATTTAAAATAATTTTTTTTTCTGGCTGAAACACATTTGGTGGGAGTGGCGACGGGCTGCGCGAGCGCGTAAAAGCAGCCTCTTCAATATATTCTGCGTCCGCCTCCATTGCTGTCTAAGCGTTGACTGACGCGTGATTGACGAAATGCCATTACACGTTCAATCAAAATTCGTGACTGATAGTTGATTGACGTAAAAATCAAAATATCCAGATATTTGTCAATCAATTTCATGCAACCTTCAATCACCGCATTACACGATAGGTTATTCGTCAATCACAACCGTGATTGTTGTAAAACTGACAGCAAAACCTACCGTGTAATGGGCGTCTTAGAGTTGCAGTTGTTTCTCTCCATTGCATAGGTCGTTCGGGCTCAGCGCAACAATTGAAAAGCGACAGCAATTGATTATTAAAAATCTATTCTTTGATAACAAAGTGGTGTTTACTTATAATGACGTTCTCGAGTACGGTTCTAAGGAATCCGATGGAATTTAAAATATAAGGACAAAAGGGGCCGAAAAATCTATCTAGCTAGGTCTCATTTTTGAGAAAATTTATTTTCACCGTGTATTCACGCCCAACGCAACATGCAATAAAACTATCAAACTATTTTTAATCGGTGCTAAGACAGTGTATCGATTAATTAAGGAATTATTTCCTCAAATTTTAATGGTATTTGGTATTTTTAATGGTTTTAATAATTAAAGTCATGTGTTCACAATTGGCTAAGATATTGCGTAACAAACATAAAAAAACAATTGAAAATTTCTTTTTTTAATTCGGCTAATTTTAGTTTTTTAGATTTGTTAGTAATATTGTCAATTTGAATTTTTCCTGATCAAGGTTTTTGTTTATTTTGATATAACGATGAATTTTTATAGAGTTTTAAATACTAAAACATAATTTTATCTCCTAAATTAAGTCAATAATTGCATTGGTCAATGACTATGATAGGCCGCACAGAAACTTTTGTGTTTTTTTTTTGTATGAGACAGTTATTTTTTTACAATTTCAAATCATCATCATTACAGCCCTTCACAAGTCCACTACTGAACATAGGCCTCCCCCAAGGAATGCCACAAAGCACGGTCTCGAGCCACCTGCATCCATTGACTTCCTGCATGTCTTACCAGGTTTTCACTCCATCTAATAGGGGGACGCCCTACACTTCGTCTGCCGGTACGAGGCTGCCATTCGAGAACCTTTCTTCCCCATCGGTTATCGGTTCTTCGAGCTATGTGGCCGGCCCATTGCCACTTCAGCTTACTAATCTGTTGGGTTATGTCGGTTACTCTGATTCTACTGCGGATATCCTCGTTTTTAAATCTATCACTCAGAGAAACTCCGAACATAGCCCTCTCCATAGCTCGCTCAGCGACCTTGAGCTTCCTCATACGGCCAGCAGTGAAGGACCATGTCTCAGATCCATAGGTCATCACTGGAAACCCGCACTGGTTGTACAATCTAGTTTTGAGTTATGTCTGACGAGAAGATGTGTCGTAATCTCCCGAACGCTGACCAGTCGAGTTGAATCCGTCGATTGACCTCGGTCGAAGTTGGACTTACCTAGTCGGACTATTTGTCCCAGGTAAATATACTCATCAACAATTTCGAGTTTAGTGCTCCCAAAAACTACCGACATAGGTATGACATGGACGTTACACATGACTTTTGTTTTGTCCATATTCATCTTAAGACCTATTCGTTGGGAGACACTATTGAGGTCATTGAGCATAGTGCTTAGGATCTCCAGCGATTCTGCCGTAAGAACTATATCGTTGGCAAATCGAAGGTGAGTGATACTACATTATGCAATATCCTTTCCAGTCCAGTAGCTCTTCCAATATGCGGTGAAGAGTTTCGGGGACATTACGTCACCCTGTCTTACACCTCTCTGCATTTGGATAAGTTTCGTACTCTGGTTCTGTACTCGGATAGCTATCCCTACTGAACAAACACTTCAGCACTTCGATATACAGCCAGTCAACTTGGCACAAAGGCTTTCTCATAGTCCACATACGCAAGGCAAAGTGACGGATTGTACTCTTCGGTCTTCTGTACAATTTGCCGGAGGCTGGAAGTCGTAGCCTGCGTGCGAGACGATTCGTAATGACTTGAAAACAGCACGTAGACGCGGCTCAGAAGGGAAATCGTTCTGTAGTTCTTCAAAAGAGCGTTGTCCCCTTTCTTTAAGAACAAGATCTCCCCATTTCTGCTCCACACTTCCAGAGTAGTGCCACCATGGAGGACGCAATTAAAGAGCTTTCTGAAGGACTTCAAAGTACCAGTTTTCCACCCACTTTCAGAAGCTCCGCTGTAATTCCATCCTCGCCCGGGGAGTTGCCATTTTTAATGTGTTTGAGAGCCATTCTAATCTCGCTCAGACTGACATTCGGGATATCATCGGAATAGTGTCAGTACCGGCCATAAGATGCCGCCCCGGCTCTGTAAGAGGTACTCCTGAGATGAGAGGTTGAATAAGTTTTTACGTACGTGGGGCTTTACTTCTCTCCTAAGGGACCAGTCATATCGTCGGGTCTCCTATCTCTAAATATTCCACAAGGCACTGAAAACGGAGGAAACATTTATATAGAGATCTTCGGAAATATCGTTTAAAATTGTAACATAAGAAAAATATTTTTCTTATATGAAAGTATATGAAGCGCAAACTCATCGACGCCACATTAAATAGATCAGATATTAACTTAATTTGCGAAAATTTTATAATTATTATAAGACCATGTGTAATAGCGAATGAATGAATTTACGCGTACAAAGAAATAATAAACCTTAATAAAATATTTCTGTGCGGATACATAGTGTTCATAATTTCTATTAAAATATAAAATTTTCATTTTTACAGGTTCTACAAGTATAAAAAAGGTACAGATACGTCGACGTGACGTAACAACAAAATCAATACAAAGATCTTTACAGAAAATAAAAATAATAAAATGTTTAAAAAAATACAAATATTAAATAAAAATTTACAAACAATTCAATTGTTTTTTTTTTATGAATTAACCTAACTCAATGTGATAAAATTATTTTGCAGCAGCAAATAAAAAGTTTGCTGATATTTTTGTATTCTTTTTTAATTTTAATTAGGCCGTGCCCGCGTCGAATCGTCCGAATCTAGAACCCCAGAAATCCTAGACGAATTGGAATGTCATCAGCACAGAACACTAATACCCTTAGGAGTCATCAGATTCAGCGCGGGCAAAGAGATTATAATCATTACGTTAAAGCGCGGGCAACACGGTCGAATCGAATTGACCGATGCGCTTGCATTCTGACAGTTGCGTGCGGCGGAGCAACGTACGAGTACTAGTTCTTCGTTTAAAAAGAAAAAAGTGATTCTAATTTAATTAAATTAATACTTTCTTCATCTTCCATTAATAAAGCACTGACAACAAAAACTTGTCAAGATCCATCACAATTAGGGCATCCACGACTTTTTCTGTCACCAGAGCGGCGCCACTTAATAGTGAGGTATAATATTTGACAGATATCATAGCGGGGAATTGGATTTGTTCAGAAAATATAAAGGTTAATGTTTCTTTCTGTGGTATTAGCTATATTTTATATTAATACAACACTTTACAACGTGGTAGAGCCATGTTGCAGCTATATTAGTAGTATAGTTGTAACACGAATGGGTCGGCTCGACCGGAGAAAGACGACGCTCTCACAGAATACCAGCGTAAAATAGCAGCTTAATGAGCTTAATGAGGATAGATGTAAATGTCTATGGACCACAGCAACCACTTACCATCAGGTGAACTGTGTGCTCGTTTGTCATCCTATCCTATAAAAAAATAAGATTAAAAATAAATAAATCAAACCACAGATATTCATAAAAGTAGAAAAATTAAAAAAAAGTTAAAAATGTGCAAAAAAAATTAAAGAGCAAACCATTGAGGCATTGTTTTGTGTATTAATATAATACTTTTGAAACTGATAAACTTTTATTAAAAACTAATTCTCAATTAAATGACATTCATCATCATCATTACAGCCCTTCACAAGTCCACTGCTGAACATAGGCCTCCCCCAAAGAATGCCACAAAGCACTTTAATTAAATGACATTGTGTAACCTAAAACTTTACCTGTGTTATCTAGCGACATCTGGTGAGCAAACAATTATTAGCCATGTAATTGCAGTGCGACAGATAGAGTAAAGGCTATTTTGAAAATTTGAAATTTTTAGGGGTTGACAACCTTTTTTTAACTTGTACATGGTACTCTTTTTACTTTGTGGGTTTTAAATCGTGTTGTGGAAAAATAGTCTAATAAGTAACAAATAGTAGCACTCATTGCGATCGCTCACAAACTCAAGTTGTAAATAAATTTCTGGAAAACAAGTCTCCTGTTAAAAAAAAAACAATGCGTTTGTCTTATTGTTTAATTTTGCTGAAAACGGTTGAACTGCCGTCTTATTACTATCATATGGCCGAATAGACCTACGAAGTACCATGTGCTCTTGTGATATGGTGTAAAGTTTATTTTTGCTTGAAACAGTTCCAAACCGTTCATGCATAAAAAAAAGTTCGCTAATAAATAGTCTTTTGTCAATCCACCGCCGTATAGCGCCGGCGTTTTTTTTTCTTTTGAAAACACGTGTTTTGCTATTCTTACTAATTAGACGTTTTCAAATCGACTTTACTTTTACATTTGTATAACATCAAATAATATTTAATATTTGTAGATATGAATGAACCATAAACCTTATTTTTTTCCAAATTAAGGTTCTTGATTGTTTGATATTTACATATATTATTATTAGGTGAAAATTCAATTTAGTAAAAACCAAGGTTTTCCAGGGCGATTTAGCTGTACCTACTTATATAAATGATTTTTTTATAAAACAAAAAATAGTACAAAATGTTTGTAATCTCTGCATAAAAAGAGTCACTTGCTCTCAATTTCAAAGAAAACACGTAGAAAAACAAGTATCCTTCCGTTTGTAACTGATGTTTGATGTCAACTAAACTTAATTAGGTCTAAACAAATGAAAAAAGCATAAAAAAGATACTTTTACACATGGCTGATGGCACAATAGGCGTGTCATCAACTTCTGTGGCGTTCGGCACATCAGGCGTATCATGAAATATTTGTTCGCCGCCGCAGCTAATAGTTGTCCGAAATCGGTGCCGCAACGAATCGGTTAAAATGGATGTTAAGGTGTTAACAGCTGTTGCGGTTTATTTATTCAGAGCATACCGCTACTACGTGAATGTATATAAGAAAAGGGTGATCAAAAAGAAATGGAAAAAGTAATTTTATTTCTTGTGTTTCACTAATAATTTTCGGCTTGGTAGAACTCTAAAGCGAAGTTTCTTCATTAGTCATTGTTACTGCCATTTTGTAGACACTAGTTACGATGCGTGAATATTGTTGCGCGCTATTATTAATGTCTTGTACATGGCAACACTAGTTACACTAGCGCCCTCTAGTGTCGAGTAAAAGAAAGTGTTACGCGCCACTATTAATGTCTTGTACGACCTACAAAAAAGGGATTTGATTAATATTTTTTAAATTAATATATTGACTGTATTTTGCGATTTCGTAAACTGAATACTAAAGAAAAATATAAGTATTTATTAATAAATTACCTTTGTGCTTAAATAACGATTATTGGGAGCTTCGTTCAAAAACCTTTCCACTTCATTGGATGTTAATATTTTCGACTTTTTAGTTGTATAACCGTCTGATTGTCGTTTTAAGAAATCATTTAGTTTTGGGTATTCACTTATATCCACGTTGTTCCCTAATGGACGCGTTTGCAAATCGGGCAAAATTATGCTGTGTTTCGGTACGTTTTGTAACAAAACTAAACCAAATCAAATATAACTAATAACTACCACGTATAGATTGGTTCTTCATCTTCAAATGGTGGTAACTTTTTTGTTGAAAATAATAGTTTCTTATATTGTAAAAACGATCTTTCCTAGCCATTTTCTACAAAATTAAAGATACCGGCTCATATTTAGGTACATTTTTAAGATTTCTAAAAATACTTTAAGTAGGCAGACATATTCAATAAAAAATAATGGTGTTTACTTTTTATCAAAATGTCACAAATATTCGTAAAAAAAATAAAAACTGATGCTTGTTTTTTCACATATTTTGCAAATACGGATGAATCATAACGTATTGCAATAAGGCCGGCCACATACATACGGAATTCCGTTTCGTGATTCCGTTTCGATATTCCGATTCGAGATTCCGAACGCAGCAAGTCCATATAAAATCTATGACCCGCCACACACGTATGTTATTTTTCCGTACGAAATTTCTCCGATTCGAGATTCCGTATGACCGCCTGTGCGTTCGGGATCCTGAACGGAAAAAAGCCGCTCCGAACGCACGTCTTCCATTGATTTTGTACGAGTCGCAACACACATACGTAAATTCCGTACGGAATGCGCTCAGTATTCGTCGCACGACCGAAGCGAGTAGGTGTATTTATGTATGTTTTTACATTTAATCTTGTAGGTGTATAGCTTTTCGTAACCTTTCATCTTATTTTATTTAATAATTCGTCGAAAGAATTTACATACATAAATATTTAAAAAATATCTCTGGATAGATAGATCTTTTTACATAGTATTGACTATATTGCAAGCTTAGGGTGATAAGGGGATGCACCTAGTAAGAATGATACAGCAACAATGGAATCGCAATTAGAAAATCGTCGTCATTATTCGCTAGCAGAATGTCTAGACTCAATGGCTAACGTCTCTCAACTGACCCTTGTTATTCCGAACGGAAAAAAACGTATGTGTGTGATGTATTCACGGAATCCCGATTAGGGATTCCGAAACGGAATTCCGTATGTATGTGACCGGCCTTAGGGTTATTTTATTTTTGGTGCCTGTTTTGGTTTGTTGTACAAAAATTTCGATGAAACCACAGTCCGCGCTCAGCCGCCGTCGTGAATGATACTGTATCGCCTGATTGCAGCGGTTCATATTGAAAAAGATCGCTGTACATACACAAAATATTGGAATTTGATACGTAGGTACTTGACAAGGTAAAATAATATTACATATCATTTATATTATAATATTTTGTTTCGCTAAAATTGTATTTTACATATCAATAAATAAAGGCCAAGTGTAGGGCGTCCCCCCCACAAGATGGAATGACGACCTGGTGCGACATGCAGGAAGTCGAAGGATGCAGGTGGCTCAGGACCGTGCTTTGGAGCATTCCTTGGCGAAGGCCTATGTTCAGCAACGGACTTGTGAAGGGCTGTAATGATGATTATCAAGAAATACCTATTCGTCTTGGACTGGTGTGACCTGAAGGTGAACTTCGGTGATGCTATTGGAACTCCGCGACGAGTAGAACTAGATGTGTCGAATTTGGGCTCGTTTTCTTAGTTATGATAAGACCTTACCTCCAGACTTGATGGAATGACCTGATGGTGTACATCACTGACTGCTACTGGTACTCCTGGACGAGTAGTAACTAAGTGTGCCGAGTTTGGGCTCGTTTTGTTAATTATGATGAGATCTAACCTCTGGGCTTGGTGGAGAAACCTGATGGTGTACTTCGGTGACTACTACGGGAACACCTAGACAAGTAGAACTAGGTGTGCCGAGTTTGGACTCATTTTGTTAGTCATGACGCGACCTTACCTCCGGACTTGATGGAGTGACCTGAAGGTGTACATCAGTGACTGCTATTGGAACTCCTGGACGAGTAGAACTAGGTGTGTCGAATTTGGGTTCGTTTTGTTAGTTATGATGAGACGTTGCCTCCGGACTCGGTGGAATGACCTGAATGTGTACTTCAGTGACTGCTACTCTGTAACTCCTCGACGAGTAGAACTAGGTGTGCCAAGTTTGGGCACGACTTGATAGTTATGATGAGACCTTACCTCCAGGCTTGATGGAGAAACCCGATGGTGTACTTCGGTGACTACTACGGGAACACCTGGACGAGTACAACTAGGTGTGCCGAGTTTGGGTTCATTTTGTTA